TTAATCTGTTTCATCATCATTTTTGTCATAACAATAAGTTATTCTAGAATTCCACATCATTTTATTCGTATCATATATCAGTTGAGTAATATTACACATAATGAAATAAATATTATGAAAATTTTCATAAAACTAATCAACGGTGAAGAATTTTTATGAAATTTTTTCATAATATTTCTTTTATGATACCTAACATTATTGATATAAGTTACAACATTTGTGGTGTTGATTACTCATAACTAAAAATAAATTAATCATAACCAAATATAACATAAAATATAACCAAAATAATAATTACACATTTAATGATTATCAATAAAAATATTTTTAATGTAAAAATTACTAAACTAACTCTGTCATTAACGCGGTTAATTATGAGAGATGTCAATATAATTAATAAAAAAAAAAGAAAAAGCTACCAATGTGATTGTCCAAACATTAAGCCCTCGTTTGGCATGTGAGTTGGAAGGGCTATCAGGCTAAAATAGGCACAAAAAGACAAAATATATGAAAAAGCCAATAAGACAAAATGTCACATCTAAATCATAATCATTTTACTTTTTTCTTTCACAAAAGTTAAAAAGTCAAAAAGTCCATCTCAAACGAGATTTTTTAATCCCAAGCCAAAATAGCCAAAAAACTAAAAAATTAAAAAATTAACCTACATCCCAAACGAAACCTAAGGAAGGTCACTATAACCCACTTCTTTGTCACCAACCAAGCCGTTTTTCCAAACTAAGAATAAAAAAATGTTAGAAACTCAAAAGTTCTACCAAATGTTTATACAAATGTTTGGTAAAAAAATTGGGACAAATTTCATTTTACCTTTTTGGTTTAGGTAATGTGTGGTTTACCCTTAATGTTTAAAAATGATCACATAATTTTCACGTAATTTGTGAATTGAAGTGTACCATTAAATATTCTGTCTATCTTAACAACAAGTGTGAAATACATAAAAGACTAAGAGGGTTAATGTGTTTATTTTTAAATTTCAAGAGGATAATTACACATGAAATAAAGTATAAAGAGGTAAAGAACACTTTTTCTTCCAAACAAATGACAAAAATATTGAAACATATTAATTTTTTTTCATTAAATCGTTAACAGACCTAATGATACATTTTAATTCACAAATCAAAAAGAAGTTATATGGCCATCTTCAAATATTAGAGAAGTAAACAAAACATAAAGTAAAATTTGCCCAAAATTTGAGACTATAGAACTTTTTGTTTGCTCATAAAAATATTCTTATTCTCACGGTTGGAAAACGGCAAAGAAGAAAAAGAGCCTTGTCTGCTTTCCAGCCCAACCCCGTCTTCGTCTTCACGATTCCATCCCACCCATACATTGAAAGAAGTTGGACAAGCTTTACCCCAGAGGTAGAAATTTGCAACATGATACGATAATATGATTTGAATTATACATAAAATTAATAAGTTAGAATTGACTATTTCTTAATACGAATACGTATATGGCATGACTCAATAACAAGAATATTAAACAGGTTGAATTAGTATCAAATTTGTATAACACGAAACTGACACGGATATATGATTATTGGATATCTGTAGTTACATGTGTTGAATCATATTTATTTTTAAAAAATAAACGATAAATATAATTTCAAAAATAATTATTCATTTTTTGTAATTCAAATTTGATTCAACACGTATAGTTATTGATATTCAATCATCTCATTTTTTACATTAATATTAAAAGTGAACGGATTGGATTATCAAAACAAAACTTGTGGTGGTTCTCACGGCTCTTCAAATTCTCTCATGTTGGGATGAGAATATAAGAGAAGTCTAACCTATATCTTATATGTCCAACTTAATAACTATTATACTAATAATTTTCTTATTTAATCAAATCATATTAATGATTGTGGTTTAACTTATCTCAAGCCCATCATCTTAATTTGAAAGAATGTTGGAGTTGGTAGGATTCGAACCCTTCATTTTAATTTGAGAGAACGTTTGAGTTGGTAGGATTGATTTTAATTATTCGAACCGTTTATTTTTAAGACCCATAGAATATTTATTCAAAAAAATAAAATGATTGAATATCAATAGATATATGTTTAAATCAAATTTATATTACAAAAAATTCTTAAAATTATATTTATTGTCATTTTTTGAAAATAAGGGCAAATTGCCAACACCCCTTCGAGGTTTGACTAAAATACAGATTCCTCCTTGAGGTTTGAGAAATTACATCCCGCCCCTTTAAGTTTTTATTTGTACAACAAATTGTCCCATAAGTTTTATATTTACATAACAAATTACCCCCTCATTTGTTATGCAAATATAAACCTCGAGAGCAATTTATAATTTTTCAAACCTCAGGAGCAATCCGTATTTTAGTCAAACCTCGAGGGAATGATAGTAATTTGCCCTAAAAATAAATATAATTTAAATATGGACTGTTTTGAGAAGTTAGTTAAAAGTTGATTCTTTGATTTTTATTTATTTATTATTTTTTTTGGACTCTTTTGTCTTTTTGTGAGTAAAAAATATAAGAGGTGATGACTTAAAATTAGTTAAAAATTAAAAATTAACTTTTAATTAACTTGTCAAATAAACCCTATAATATCTAATTATTTTAATTTTTTTCATAAATATTTTAATTAAGGAATCTTAGAAATTTAATTTTAAAATAAGCTGACCGCAACCGTATCCAACGTAAAGTCAACAAAGAGCCAAACCGTATCCAACGTAATCTTGATTTGACTTGTTATTTAATTTTAATTTTAAAATAAATATAATTTAATTTTAAAGTCAACAAAGAGCCAAACCTATCCAACGTAATATTGACTTGACTTGTTATTCTCGTAGAGAGTGAATGAGCCTTTTGAACGCAACCATTTTGAAGTCGAGCCTTTTTGTACCCAACTTGAACCTTAGGAGAGTAGGTAGAGTAGTTAGAAAAAAATTGTAGTATTTAACAACACAGTTGAGACTGGAAGGTCCCCCCGATTGATTTTGTGGAAAAATGGCCGACCCAGTAAAGAAATTTTGCTCTTATTTCCCGGACGATTTCAAGGAATATAAGGACAAGGAACTGAACTGGTTGCCATCAAGTATTTTTACAAAATATCTTTCAAAATATTTCTATGGAGGGGTTTTCTGGAGCCGAGAAGACGACGAGCCACATCATCTCTCTACTCTCCCCAACGGTGGTAACTTACTCCCATCTCTCTTTATTCATTTATTTATGAATAATGGTATAGATCTTAAAAATTCTATTAAAATATTTATCAAATGTCTTATATGAGTATAAGATCTGCACTGTATGAGTTATATGTCACTTCCACACTCATGTGAGATATTCCATAGAATTTTTGGTAAAATTTTGAGATTTCTAATATTTTTGTTTATTTATTATATAGTTTCTTTTCAAGTCAATTTAAATCAATAATAATTTGGTTCTGGTTTTCAAAAAAAAATTTTAAAAAATTTTAATTTTTAAAAAAATTTATTTTTTTTATTTTTCGTATTTTAATGTTTTTAATGATTTTTTTTAATATTTTAAACATTTTTTTAAAAAATTTTCGACACACCTAACATAAATATACTTAAAAAGTATAATATTTGTGAAAAAATCATTTAAAAATACACTAAATTTCAAAAAATATAAAAATTTAGTACATTTTTCGTATTTTTGTATATTTATTAATTTTTTAAAATATTTTTTAACGTATATTTTATTATTTAAATACATCTAAGTAAGGTACATCTAAAAAAGTAAAAAAAAATTATTTAAAATTTAAAAAATATTCAGTAAAAATACAAAAATACAAAAAAACAAAATAATCAATTTTTATAAAATTAAATTCAGAAATCAATTTACTTACCTTGTTTTGAAATCAATTTGTTTGATTTTATCAGATATTTCGGACTTAAACAAGATCATGAAAGATTTGCTTTACAAAATTATGCACCATTGGGCTGCAAGCCCGATACTAGTTCAATTTTGGGCACCCATAACAACAAAAGAGGGCCGGTCTTTTCTTACCACTCGAAACCAACCTTTCTGTCTAACATCATTTTATGATCGGCTTCGAATTGAAGGACTTTGTGGGTATAGGATGATCTCTATGGATTCTAAATTTGACATTGGTTTGGGTGAGGGGGATACTTCTGAACAACGCATTGGGCTTCCTGCCCGAGTGTTCAAGCATCGATTCCCCGAATCCACTCCTAATGTGGAGTTTTACTCTATCACTGAGTATCCAGAGCTTGACGATGCTGTACGTTGCGGATGTGGAGAATCTTTGGCTTTCCCTGTCTTTAAATCCTCTACCCAAAGGTGTGTTGGTGTGATTGAAGTAGTGACACCAATGCGAATCCCTGGATTTATAATTTGTCACTCCTATTCTTGGTACAAAATATATGAAGAATTTGAGGTTAGTCCCCCACTCACTCACAAATTGGCATTTTCAATATCTTGTTAATATTGATTACTCATTACACTCTCTCTCTTAGAACATCTACAATGGTGTGGTGTGTTTGTTTGTGTAATAAGTTGGTGGGGGTTTGCCTGTTCAAAGAGAAAAATAATGCTTTAACGCAAATGTTAAACACTCTGTTAAATTTGTCATGTGTTTGTTAACTATGCTCGGAGGGGTTAACACACAAAAGAGTAAACCACATTCTCATTTTTCTAGATCATAAGTGTTTTAAAACATCAAGTTTGGATGGCAAGAACAATTCAATGACGCATAATAAGAATCTTATGTCAAGTCTCTTTCATTTTGTTGTTTGGATATGTTCTAAAATGAGAGTGAAATTCCTAGTTCGGTTCCCTAACTGGAATGATTGTAGGCTTGAATAGAATGGCTAATCTTTGGCTTTCTAATAGATTGACCATTCTCCTAAATTGGTGAATATAGGGATTTCATTTCCAAATTTCCAATGTATATTCTTTCCTTTTTATCGAACCAAACATGATAATAGATATTCCGACATACTGAATTTTTTCCATTGTAGAGTTTTTTGTATGCTTCCTTTTTTTGGTAAAATATTATTCTACATTTCAAGGTTTATGAGATTCATCAGTTGCTTCTTTCCATTCCCCTGCAGAAGTTAGGTCTGAAATGTTCAGTTGTATTTAAACACAAGGACATGAAATTAGTAAGTGGCAAACTAGAATGTAATGTCAAATTTGGTTTTTTATTTTTCTTAAATTAATCTGGTGAGGAATATTTTCTAACTACTACCTGGATGTGACAATATTTTTAAACTAGGATGATGACAAAAATGAAGCTCGTAAAGTTGCCTTCGATGAAATCGAGAACGTGTTGAAAAGCGTATGTGATGTTCATGATGTACCTTTAGCTCAGGCATGGGTCCCATGCAAGATGGGTTGGCCATGTAGGGCTCTGGTTGATGGTGGCATCCTTCATGCAAGTTGTTTTTACAAGAAAGATGACTATGGTGAAGATGAAGATGACTATGGTGAAGATGAAGATGCTTTTCATCATATCAGTTCTTTGTTTCACTTAAAGAATGGGGTGGGGGTTGTTGGGCGAGCACTTTTGTCCACTAATATGGTATTCTGCAGGGATGTAACTCAACTTAGCCTAACTGAGTACCCATTGGCACACTATGCACGAAAGGCTAGATTAAGCGGTTGCTTCGCAATATGCTTGGAGAGCAATTGCGCTGGAAATGATGTTTATGTGCTAGAGTTTTTTATGCCGATGAGCAACAATGCCAGTGAAAACCCACATACCTCATTAAGGAAAATATTGGAAACAATGAGGAAAAAGTTTCATTGTCTTAGAGTTTCTTCTAGAGAAGAACTTGGGGAAGAATTACATGTTGAAGAAATTAGTATTCAAAATGGTGAGAAACTTGATCCTGTTCAAATCCCCCAAACTACTATATCTTTGCCTCAGATGGAACTCTCACAAAGTGAAGTTGAGGTAATGCAAGTGGATTCATCAGATCAACAATTAGTGAATGCCATAAATACTGGAAGCAATGTTGGCGGTACAGAACATCATAACTTTGCTATTACTTGTACGCAAGAGAAAAGCACAGTGAAAGTGTCAAAAAGAAAAGGCAACAAATCTAGAGGTGCAGTAAAGACGTCAAAAAGAGATGGCAGCAATATCGGAGTTAAAATTAAAATTCCGGTAGAGGATATCCTACAAAATTCAGAATTAAGCCTTGAGAATGCTGCAAAAAGCCTCAAAGGTATGCTTTCAATTTCTTAAATTAAAATGTAATGTTACTAGTGATGTCGGTAGTTATTTCAACTAGATGGACTCTTCTGGTAGAGAATATATATTGAGCTTTTGCAAAAACAAATAGAAAGTAAGTTCACTTATTTTGATTTTTCCTATTGCAGTTAGCAAATCTACATTGAAGCGTGTATGTAGGACTTATGGTATAGAGAGGTGGCCACCTCGCAAGATAAACAAGATTGGTTGCTCTCAACTCGATGAATCTGCCCCGTGTGTTAATTCTGATCATCTGCCTTCTACTCAATCCTCGGCTACTATTGTTCACACAGAGCCACATAATACAACGATGCAAGATGTGAATATTGTGACTATAAAAGCAAAATATGGGGAAGGTATTACAATGAAATTTCGTCTGTCTTTGTCATCAAGATTCGTACACTTACAGCAAGAAGTTGCTAAGAGGCTAAACTTAAAGGCTGGAACTTATTATGTCAAGTATGAAGATGAGGACGGTGAGTTGATTTTAATAGGTTGCGATGAGGACTTGCAAGATTATATATGCAATTCTAGATCGCTGGGTAGAAGTTCTATCGTGGTATTACTTGAGCAAAAATCATCAAAAAAAAAAAAAAAAAAAAAAGTCACCAATTACCCACAAAACAACTTGAATCATGCTAAATAAGCACTTCCTGTTAAATTGGCTTAACTTCAACTAATGTATGTAGTTATCGTGGTATTTCTTCTATTCATTTGCAAATTTACTAGAAGATGTGCATTTATCCCATTGGTTATTACTCCCTAAGGGCCTTTTTTTTTTTTTCTTTCCCTCCCAAGAATTTGGTGGTAATGTTTCCCCAAAGATCAATTCTAACATTTTAAAATTTGTTTATTTTTATTTTGGCTAAGCTTTGTCTCCGTGCAATCCAAGTTCCATGCAATCCAAGTTAAGGGTGAGCATAAGGTCGGTGACCCACCCAACTCAACACTGACCTTATTAAAAGGGGGAAAAAAAAAATTTAATTATGTCAAAAATTATAGAATTTGTTATATATATATTAAACTTAAGAAAGTTAGTGTAATTTACTCATTATAATATGGTATAGAGCAAACTCTAAGGGGTTGGTTTAGTGTGTGCAACTTGGAACTTAAGAGTGTGATCCTTTTAAGTCTCAAGTTCAACTCTTATTAGGAGCAATCTGTTCTTTGGGGCTACGCTCGCGGACTTTGTTCGAGATTTACCTGATCTACATGGAGAGAACGCTTTGCGTGGGTCTTAAGATTAGTCGCGGTTTGCTTAAATTAGCCAGGACATTCGGTCATTAAAAAAATAAAAAATAAAAAAATAAAAAATAAAAAATAAAAAAAAAAATTTGTACAGAGTATTAGTCGAGATACGCGTAAGTCAGCCTGGACTTAGTCATAAAAAAAACGGTATAGAGTATTTTTCTTTGTTAAATACAAAGAGAGAAGAAAAAAAAATACAAAGCGTGGTATTATACACACAAATTTGTACAAAAATTCATACATAATGAATTGGTAAAAGTGTGCCCTTAAAAAGACTCATTAAAATTATTTATAAGTTTTTAAAAAATGCTACTATGACTTTATGTATGAATTTTTTATTTATTTATAAATCATCTATCTGTATATTATTATAATTACAAAACGTTGTCATTTCATTAAGATTAAAAGTTACAATTTTTTTTTCTTATTTTTTTGATTTTTTTTAATTTTTATTAATACGTGTCATAATATGATTGGTCTATAAATTAATTTTATATTCTTAAAACAAAATTTTAAATTTGAATTCTTACTTAAATAATGTTACTATAATTGGAATGAGATCAATACTCATTCCTTAAATTATGCATTTTTTATTAAATTATAAATAAAATTTCAAATTTAAATTCTTCTTCAAATTATATTACTGTATTTAGAATAAGATCAATATTCACATGTGTCATAATATTATTAATCTAAATATAATTTGTTTTGAAAATAAGTGTTCAAATTATGAATAGCTATTAAAAAATTTTACTTTTATTTATTTCTTTTTTAGTTTTAAATTATATATAAAAAAATTATCCTTCTAAACTACAAGGACTTGAACAATAATATTTTTTAATATAATTTTTTTTAATAAAAAACAAAAACAATTAAGAAAATGAATGCCTTTTTTAGCACTTGCCAAACATGGTGGATTCTATTCTATTAGATGATTATTATTATTATTATTATTATTATTATTATTATTATTATTATTATTATTATCTCAATCGTTGTGCCTCGACTTTTCGTGCTCCTTTCGGATACGATCAACCCTACAGTTCGGACTCATGTGGTTCTGAATCTGATTCCACAAGTGCAATGTGAAATAAAAAAATACAAAATAATCTAAATCTAGTAAATCTTTTGAAAAATCGATTTTGAATCAAAATGTCAAAAATGAACTGCTTTGTCAGATTATAGAGTTGCCACCTAAATATTTTTGAGATATTTAGGAAATTCGAGACTTGGTGCCAAAGCCACTTATCCGTCATCACCAAAGTTGTCTCGGCTCAGGAACTTAGGTACATGCGGGGAAGGTCATGAATTGAGCACCCCACTCGCCCGATCAAAGATCGGGCTCCACTAATTATGATGTGATTCTTCTCTACATTATATGCTCTTGTTTTGATTTTTAGACTAACTTTACTATATGTTGCACACAAGTATAGACTAATTTGCAAAAATTGAAACACTTTGACTTCATGTTTGTTTTTTAAAATTGTTTTGAATTTGCGTCACTTAAAAAAGTGAGTTTGTATGTACATTAATCAATTTATTCCAATTCAAGTAATTAGTCTTCATCGATAAGCATTGAAGCAGATATATCAATTAAGTACTTAGCCTCATGGCAAGCATACTAGACATGGCAACAATCACATACGTGCGATATGCTAAAGCATAAAAATGCCCATCTCGTACTCCAAGGCAAGCCAAAAGAAACAAAAGAGTTAGAAAAAATGCATGCTCTAATTATACAAATGACTAATGCAACACATGCAATGATGCAATTTAATAGGCTCAGCTACTAATTATGACATGTGAATCAATTTGAAAGCACGCGTTTTAAACATGTATTCAACGAAGTCATAAATGACAATGCTTGTTAGAATGATGAACCGAGTCTCGATGTATGCAAGACAAGTGGATGCAAATCATGGAATATGCTAAATGAAACATGATATTCTATTCTATCCATCATAAGCGGATAAATAAAAGAGAGAAAGACGTGGGGTTAGAAGACATACACATTATTACATATTTGCCCTCATCCAAGAGCACTACTATAAAAACAGATAAAGATCAGACTTTTTTTGTGTGATCTATGTTATTTAATCACACTTTTTAAGTTTTTTCAAAGTTTGATCATTGGGAGTGAATAAAAAGAGTCATTTTTAATCACGCGTTTTAAGTGTGATTAATAACATTTATCACATCTTTTAAGTGTAATTAATAACTAACAAAACCTATGATAATAAACATTTAGATCACAGATTTTAAATGTGATTAATATCTAATAAAACATGTGATTAATAAAAAGATAAGATCACACGTTATATGCATTTCTCATCACATTTAATACGTGTGATAAAAAAAGGGTTCAACATATTTCAAGAATAATCAATATTATTTTCGTATGCACATTTAAAGAATGTAATACATACTATATACTATACTTTGAATCACAACCACATATTGAATGGAATAACGTTATATATTTCATAAATGAAAGTTAAATATGTTCAAAAGTATATATAAAGGAATTAAATAAAAAGTTTTAAATGTGCTTACATATATTAAAAAATGAAAAAACTTGAAAAGCTAAGTTCTTAAATTCTTTGACTATATTTTGCATCTCTCTAATAAATTTCTGACTTGAAAAATAAAAACACAAATTAATTCAGAAACCACTAGAAGCATATGAATAAACTAACTATTTATAGAGATTGTTCTGTCTTATAAAAGATAAAGTCGAACATTTTCTCATCACACTAACTCTTTATCTCCGGCATCAATAGAAAAGGAATAACTATTTTGATTGTTATTGGTATAAATGTTTGGATTACCCTATAGATATGACATATGCATAGAATCAACAAATCCAAAATGAAAATTTTTAGCGCATGGCCAGATATTTTAAAGTCATAAAACCAAAATAAAAGCCTAGTATTATTTAAATATAAAAAGAAAAAAAATATATATCACATGGTATTAGAAACGATATAAGCCCAAGCAGTGCTTGTGTGCAAGTCTAAGCCTTATGGAATGCTTACAAAGATGTGAAGTGATTCGATCATCTGCCCTTGTTATTCAGCTCTCGCTAGTAAAGTGATCTTGACAAGAGAAAACGAAGGGAAGGGGATGTTAGGAAAAAATATGAACCTTGTTGTGATGATGTCAATTTGTTTCAAATCTCGGAGGAGTAAACAAGGCATAACTTTTTTTTTTTTTTAGTAGTACAACTAACCATGCATAACTATTATTCAGATAAGACAGTAGAAATGTCAACAGAGCATTTTCATCCCTTTTTGTAGGCAACGAGGAATAAACCTACACATTAGAGAGACGATCATACCTTTTTCAACAAGATGCAAATCCTCTCAATTAAAGAGACAGACAAACTCCCCATATCACCATTTTTTAGTTTCTCCATCACATTCATAGACAATAAACCAGTAGCAACCTGCAAAAAAAAAAAAAATGATAATAACAGAATTTATTATTAGAAAATCTTGTTAGCAGTTAATCTAGATTCATTTAACTTAAAACTTCAGACAATACTGAAAAATAAAACTTGTGTGATCATAGGATATGTGATTTTTATAGTTCAATACATCACAATTACAAAAGAATACTGTCTTTGGCATAGAAGTATCTAGAAAAGCAGTTTGCTATAAAGAAACAACACCTGAAGCTCTAATCCGTTTAATCCATAAGATACTTATAACCATCCAACCATTAGGCTATTCATCATTTTTTAGGCTTCGTAATGTTGTAAAATTGACAGAGTTATATCTTCTGCTTCTTCTGCTGCTTTTTCCTTTTTATTTTTTTTATTTTTTATTTTTCTTTTTCAAGCATGCATCATAGAAAGGGGAAGAAAATGAAAAATGCAAAGGAAAGAAAGATCAGTTTTAACTACAAAAACCACATCTTCCATTTTTAGCTTTTATTCTAATTCCCCAACTTTAAGAAAAAGAAAGAAAGCCCTTTAGCAAAGATAACTTAAAAAATTTTATCTTGGAAGATGGAAAAGATCAAATATTCAACTATCTGAGCATGTACGAAGGTTCTAGCTCAAACAGAAGATAGTAACTAATAGAAGTAGAAATGAAACTATTGAATATTCAACTATCTGAGCATGTATGAAGGTTTTGGCTCAAACAGAAGATAGTAACTAACAGAAGTAGAAATGAAACTAAAAAAATAAATGCAGAACTGAGCAAAGTCCACTAAAAGCAGATATATGACAAGCAATTGTGACTCGGGAAAACTTTTCTTCTGCAAAATGTAGTTATCACATAAGCCCAAAAGCATGTGTCGAATTGCACTAACCTAGTATGAACTTCTTGTTTCCCTGTACAATATCATTTCCTGCTACATTCACAAGCAAGAAGTTCAATTCCTTTCCAATCTGAATAACTTGGTTGC